GAGCTAGAATTTATGGCTGTTCAAAGTTGGCCAAAAATTCACATTTTCCATACTTAGCCAAAATTTCCAAAACTTTAAAATTCTTTCCAAAAATGAAAATTTCAAATTCTAAGCCTCTTCAATTATTTCGTATTGCCGGATGTTACATGTATAACTATACACTCTATTGTGTATAAAGTTGTGTATTACCAACACCAAGGAATTCTAGGTATTAGTAATACATAGCATTTTAACACTTGCATTAGATTAGATAATTACAAAATTACCCTTAAAGTCTTTTCATTTTCTTTGTTGTCATAAGTTTTTGTTTTTATTTTGATTTGCTTTTTAGTGTCTTTTAATTTGTTGGTGTCTTAATAGGCTTTATGACCTCTTAAGTATCTTTTTTTTAAAAAAAATAATCTAATTTCAATATAATTTAATCAAAAAATTTACTATTGTGATTTGTGACGATAAATTTGATAAAAAAAATTCTTTGCCAACTTTTCACAAAAAATATTTTGACGCAATAGTACAACTATTTAATCTTATTTTTGAAAAAAATAATAAGAAGAAGAAGATGTTTTAGCAAAGATTTCTTTTTCGGTGTTTTAGCAAAGAACTTTGTTGCAAAGGAAGTGTACAAATAAATAATGTGTGAAGGGTATTTTTGTACACATAAATTTTTCAATAGAAATTATGCAAGATTTGTTATTTCTAATACATCAAACCAAACAATGTATAAGAAATAATGCTTGCATAACTAATACATGCATTACTAATGTAAGCACTACTAATGCAAGCATTACTAATGCACTCTATTTTGCATTGTTCTTATACACTCTACCAAACGATAGTGTTAGTGTATAAATATTAAATGTTCTGCTCCTCCAATATGTTTTCTACAAATAATTGTGCAGCGAGATCATAAATTTTTACACAGTTAACCATTGTTAAAATCACAATATATCTCGCTCCCTCACCATTGAATTGTCCCTTTTGGTTAAAAGAAAATTGAGTGTCCTTTATGCATTTTGGAAGAAAAAAATTGTTCTTTTGGCTCCGATCTCCTTCTCTAAGCTGACTAAGTCAACTATCATTTGTTCTCAATCAAGTGTCATGTTTTAATACATATATGATGATAATTCATAAAAATAAAATAATTGTAGTTAGGATGTGAAATTCGCGGAAAAAATAATAATTCATACGTGTTATTGATTATTTATCTCTTTTTTATTTTTGTTTACGATACCAGGCAGCACACTATATAATGGGAAATGAATAATTAGTTGCTAGTGATGGCAACTGTTGTTAATGGAGATTCTTGTAACATCATTACTATTGAAGCTTTCAATTGCAAATATTCACAATTGCAAGTACCATTTCACTTGTACGGTATACTTACTGAGGGATATACTGGTAGGGGCCATATAAAGTATTAAATGATCTAATTAAATCCATGAATTATCATTATTTACATGGTAATGTCTTCTCCAAAATTATTTTTTATGTCTTTCCAGCTTGAATTTAAATGAAAAGTAGGAATTACTCCATTTCTGTATAATTTCTGTGTTTTTTTTGTGCTACCTATTAGCATAAAATAAAAGGGAAAATAGCACATTTGGTCCTACAAATATTGGTACATTTTGATTTTTGGGCCTCATTGTAAACAAGGACAAAAGTCCCACATTGGTGGTTAATGAGATGAGTGGACTCCTTATAAGGTTGGGCAATCCTCCTCCTTTTGAGCTAGCTTTTGGGGTGTGAGTTAAGCCTAAGACCTAATTTAACATGGTATCAGAACAGGACCCATCTCACCCAATGTTGGGACCCCCAAAAAATAAAAATTGCCCACGCACCAGATGCTAAGCACTGGGCGTGAGGTGGGGTGTTAAACAATGACAAAAGTCTCACATTGGTGGTTAATGAGATGGGTGGACTCGCTTGGGAAATCCTCCTCCCTTTGAGCTAGCTTTTGGGGTGTGAGTTTGGCCTAAGACCTAATTTAACACTCATAACTCATTGTTTTTAACTTTCAATTAATTAAAATATATTTTTTCCTTCATGTTAAATATGTTATATTTGAATTATCTTAGGACTATATACATAACCATGAAATCTAGAAAGAGAACATATAGTAGTACAAATTTAACAAAACACATAGGTAATTAAGTAGTGAAACAATTAATAATCTAAAGTCCATCAAAGATTAAATAAGATTAATCATTTATCAAAAAGGATTAATATCAAAATTTATCCCTAACGGACAGATCAAAAGTGTTATTGCTAAATACCACATTGCATAAGTAATATTCAAGGAAGTCTTTTTAAACTATTTTCTACGTATTTTCATTGTTCACTCGATCATTTAAAAACCTACTTAATTATCCTCATCAATATATTAATCAACTGAGATCATGTTGGGAGCGCCACCTCTGAATGGGTTTGATGGTGGATTTTTTTATAAAAAAAGTTTCTATTTTCAAAGTGAAAAACTATATTTGAATATTGGGTATATTCTTGGTGGTGTAGTGGCCACTCACTGGCCCCATTCTCATGTGTGGGTCCTTCTAAAGTCTCACGTGCTTCTCTACAAATCAAATTTCTTCTATAAAACACCCCACTCATACCTCTAAAATGCACATCATATCCCACTTGTTTCTCATTCTCATTGAGACTAAAGGGACGCAACACGAGCCTTAGCTAAAATCTCATAGCTAAGACGTGCCCAAAAATAAAAAACGTTATTCACAATGGCAACACCATCCTTTGAATCCAGCCGAGCTCGAGCCATGTGGCGGACTTGCCTAGCATCCGCCCTTCGAACTGCCTTGGCTTGCACCATAGTTGGTGTTGCAACCCTTTTTGGTCCACAATATATCAAGAAGCAAGTCGCATTCCCAGCTTTTTCCTACGTTACGATTATACTAGTTGTGACCGATGCAACCTTAGGTGACACATTTCGTGGTTGCTGGCTTGCACTTTACGCTACCATTCAGGGCGTTTGTCCCGCTATCCTAAGCCTTTGGTTAATCGGCCCGGCCCGACTCACGGCCGGGACCACCGCAATAGCAGTGGCTCTGAGCGCGTTCGTAGTGGTTCTGCCTGAAAATACTCACTTGATAGCGAAGCGCATCGCGCTAGGCCAAATTGTTCTTGTTTATGTCATAGCTTATATCAATGGTGGCCAAACGGAAACTATTATGCATCCGGTTCATGTTGCGGCTAGCACAGGGCTTGGAGTTGTTGCTTGTGTTTTGGCCTTGATTTTTCCCTATCCATGCCTGGCTTGTTGTGAGGTGAAAACTCTTGATTTCTCGTGCATGGTTTGTTTGATAATAAAATAGTAGTGCTCTATACATCAAGTTGGTACACTTTAATTAAGTACCGCCTTTTGTCATAACATGCATTTCATGGTGTAACGCATTATAGTACTACTCACATTTTCAAACATTAAGCATGCACCTTTCCTACTAAACGGGTGTATGTGTTTGTGTGTACATATATACATACACATAAATTTATTTATAGTTGTGGGACCGTAACTATTTCACCAGGAACTTTTTAGCTATCCCTCTCTAGATCGATACCTAGTAATTCTGTCTAACATTTTTGAACGCTAATCTCTTATATGATTTTTTCACCTACATAATCCATTGACCGCTAACTAGGTGAATCGTGGTATAAACTACAACTAGCTACTAATATAAGGTTTTCATCTCGCAAATTTGTTGAACATATAATGCATGTAACTCGAACCCTCACACAATTACAATTTTTCAACAATAACTAACTACAGAGGATGTAGAATATTTCCACTAGCAATGATTTTAATAATTAACCAGATTGTTACTACTTGTTTTCAGGTGAAACAGAACTGCAAGCTCTTTGCTGAAAATGCTTCTGAGAGGTTTAACTTGTTTGTGAAGGCATTTACTGCTGAAGACAACAGTTGTGCACTTGCTTTCATTTCTCAAGCCAAGTCTTTAGTCAAAACAGGATCCAAACTCCTCCAGGGCATTAAAACCAAACAAGTAAGTCCTGACATGTTATTTAACTTTTATACTTTGACAGTATAAAAGAATTTACACAATCAAGTCACCTAAAAGTAGCTACGTGTAACCATCTGTAACACGTGAAATTAATAACCTAAAAAATGAGGTAAGTAACCTACTACGACATGTTAGTGAATAGTTTCCTAATATCCGTTTATTATACAGGAAAGCATGAAGTGGGAAAGATTTCCATTCAAGTTTTTAAGACCATATGGAGAGAACCCTGGAAGCAGATTTGAAGATGTTCAAACACCTTTAAGAGGAATGGAAATTGCCTTAGATAATTCTCCTTCATTTCCTGTTGAAATTCTTAACTCAGACCAAAAATCTGTTCTACATATGCTTGGTGAGCACATACCAAAGCAAGTCAACAACATGTCTCTTGAGTCATCAGCAACTGTGCCAGAGTCAAATCAAGAAAATACCCAAAAGTTCTTCCAAACACTTCAACCAACAAAAAAAGACCTTCCCTCTTTATTCTTTTTATTTTGCTTAAACCTCCTATTAAACAAACCAATTACCAATTCACCATCTTCCACTAATCCCAAGCAACAAAATCAACAAGGGTTCTTTCAAAATTACTTGTCAATTACCAAAAGTAACAAAAGGTTCATGGCAGCTTTTAAATGTTCACTTTCATTAGGCCTAGCTATATATTTTGGATCAATCTATAGTAAGGACAATGGATTTTGGGCAGGGCTTCCAGTTGCCATTAGCCTCGCGGGATCGAGAGAAGCAACATTCAAAGTAGCTAATGTTAAGGCACAGGGGACTGTTTTAGGAACAATATATGGTATTTTAGGATGTTTTGTCTTCGAAAAATACGTTCAAATTAGATTCTTGTCTCTTCTTCCATGGTTCATTGTCAGCAGTTTTTTGAGACAAAGCACAATGTATGGCCAAGCTGGTGGACTTTCAGCTATAATTGGGGCATTACTAATTCTTGGTAGAAAAGGTTTTGGTCTACCAAGTGAATTTGCAATAGCAAGAATAACAGAGACATTTATTGGATTGTCCTGTTCTATTATAGTGGAAATTTTGTTACAGCCTACAAGAGCTACTACATTAGCAAAATTGCAACTTTCCAAGAGTTTTGAAATCTTGAATGAGTCTATTTCGTTGATAAGCTTTGGATCAATTGGAAATTTAGTGGAAAGTCAAAATAAATTGAAATCGCACATAATTGAGATGGGGAAATTTATCGCGGAAGCAGAGGCAGAGCCAAATTTTTGGTTTGTACCATTTCATAGCGTTTGTTATCGTAAACTCATGGGGTCATTAACAAAAATGTTGGAGTATTTACATTTTGGGTCACAAGCTTTTATGTTACTTGAACAAGAATCAGGAGGAGCAATTGACAATTTTGTACATAAGCTAGATGGTGATATCAAGCTATTCAAAGATTTTGTTGGCTCTTCAATGAAGTGTTTTGAGGAGGTTAGTTTGGTCAAATCACTTGAAATACTTGATAAGGAATTTGAGAAGAAGAAACTTTCAGTTGATGTTGAATTAGGAACATCACAAAGTAGTAGTTATTGTAATATAATAAGGTATGCAAGTGAAGAGGAGATTGATGAAAACTTCAGATCTTATTTTGAACATTCGAAAGAGTTTGTGGACCAAATTGTCAATGGTGAGGAGTTGAAGGGTCAAGTTGTATTAAGTTTGAGTGCATTGGGTTTCTGCATGGATGGACTTGTGAAGGAAACAAAAGAGATTGAGAAGGCAATAAAAGAAGTTGTACAATGGGAGAATCCTTCAAGCCATGTTAATTTGCATGATATTTCTTGTAAAGTAAGGGCTTTAGCAAATATTATTGTAGCTAATTAGTGTAAAAGATACTACATTAATGATACTTGGAAGTTGAAGATATTATATTTTGTAATTATCAATTGAGAAAATAATTTACTGTATTATTTATAACTATATGAATAATTTATTGTACTATTTATAACTAGTTATATGTTTCATCTTACATATAACTAGACACAAGAGCTCATGCTTCAATCATGGGACATTATTTGAATTTGTTACAAAGTAAACGAAGAGAATGGGAAGGGTTGAGGCATGATATTATCAATATCTCAAAAGAGTGATTGTTTATCTATGGGTTAGCTCCTTTGGAATACAACAAGTCTATTATCAGTTGAATTAAAAGCGACACATTTATGAAGTAATTAACGTCTCTATTTATTTAGAGAACAAAAATAGTTGAAATTATGTGCACTTACTAAAAAATGTTACAATTCTTTTGTAGAACAAATATGTTCTCTCATAATATATTTTACTAATTATTTTAACCATGTACCTAAATTATTTTAACAATAATATCCAAACTATTTCAAAACTAATTGCTTAAATAGTTACTCAAATACATTACAAATAATATAACAGAATCTTCCAGTACTTTATATATGATGTTAAAATAGAAGGGTAATTACCAACATGGGTTGTGGTGCACTGGTGGGAGTGTCCTGCGTATGGAGAAAATCTTGTTGGGAGTGTCACCCCCGAATGGGCCCTGTAGAGCGCGATCCAAATTTAGTCGGAGCTCCAATGTGGGCTTCGAACACCAGGTGAAAAAAAAAATGAAAAAAAATAGAAGGGTAATTAAAATATATTAATGACGCAAATCTTTGGTTTGGGGGAGATTTGGCCTTTGGGATGCGGTTGGGGACTATATAGATGTTTTTATGCATGTCTATTTAAAAAAAAGCACTGAGTTGTCGCTGAGCAGCAAAGTTTGAAAAAGAGATACTCTATATGAAGTGGTGGCTGCATATGGGTCCTCTCTAGGCATGCAGATATTAACCTTTTCAATTGAAGTCTCAAAGTTCAAAGTACATTTCAACTTGTACGTTTTGGCGGTGCATGTTACTCCATCATCCCATCACAATTACATATCATGAGTAAACTACTTTTCTCATACGTGGTTTGTCAAATATTTTGATTTTTTTTTCAATAGAAAATATAACTTTTGAAGGTGAAAATAAGAAAAATAAGTTTCATAAGTGACAATGCACATTAATTACGTCCTTTTCTTCTTTCAACTCGATCACTTCATTTTCATCCTCACTCATGTAGACCACACCCACCTTTCATGATATTTGTTTGGATTATAAATGAATACTTTTAGAAGATATTTTTTTCTTACGTATCAAATACAAGAAAATAAGTAAAAAGTCCACTTATTTTCTTGAAAAATATTTTTCAATAAAATATCTTCCTTCATATCGAACGCACCCTAAATTATAACTAATTTTCTTGTGGTTCATGAATAGTGAAAAGCAATGACATATGTATGCAGTCTAATGTATCATATACTAAACATAATTAAAGGTAAATCTGTCCGTATGTAGTTCATTTTGGAATCATATATGATCGTTCATATCGGACAAATTAAAAAAAAGGAAGGCCTAGAAAAAGTCGTTAATAAGCGTATATACCCTAACACAAGTATGATTTCATGACTCAACACGCCTACAACCTTTAATATATCATACAAAAATAATTTTATTATTACTCAAATTAAAGGCTCCCTTCTGAAAATCAAATAAACTCATACAAAATGAAGAACATCAACCATGCCCATGCTGCATGCACTAAGTAATGTATAGAGAGTTTGTTGTTTCCTTTTGTTCATCGCTAGCTGGCTTGTCAAACTGTGAAAGGCAATTTAAAATTAAAGCACGCTTATGTTTAGTGGATTAAGCACATATATCGAAAGGTCAAAACTGATTCAAGTAGTATTACGTCCCGTTTAGTTATCACAGCTGTGATGAATTATCTCTTTATTTAAAACTAATTTTACTTAACAAGGAGACAACTAAAAAACACACAAATCTAAATATTTTCATAATTAAAAGAGAAAATGCATAAGTAACTCCCCAGCCTATGTCCGAAATCTCAGAGACACACTTATACTATACTAAGGTCCTATAACCCCCGAACTTAATTTATAAATAATTTTCTACCCCTTTTCGGCCTACGTGACACTATCAACCAGATAGCTTGAAAAAATTGTCAACACGCGCTGGGCCCAGAAGATAGATCCACGTAGGCCGAAAAAGGGTAGAAGATTATTTATAAAATAAGTTCGGGGATAATAAGACCTTAGTATAGTATAAGTGTGTCTTTGAAATTTCGGACATAGATTGAAAGATACTTATACATTTTCCCTAAATAAAATAACAAACTTTCCTTCTTGTCTTACCTAATCGGAAACTTCACTAAAAATTATTTCCGACAAAATATAATGGAATGCGCTTTGTAAGCTTTTACCAAGTCAAGATTGCGCACCTTAACAAATCCAAACCTTTTTCTTGTTTTCCAGGAAAAAAAAATAGTACTTTTGCTAGGCGCCGCGCGCATAGTTAAAAATTAAAAATAAATAAACAACGAGGCGACTAAAGTTATACAATAAGTTTTTCTGAATGTTTGAAGGAAAGGGAAATGATACGAACAGAACACATTAACTTTTGGATGCATGCTACCAATAAAAATAAGATATAGTAGTATGTACTGAAAATGAAGCTAAATTTTATATGAGAAAGTTTACATTGGCATTTTTTATTTTTTTTTTGTTCAGAATTTTACTGGACTGCTCGTATAGTGTAAATTAAAATGAGTGTTGTGTAAACTCAAATGAAAATGAGTGTATTGGGTATAGAAAGAAAAAATAAGTTTTTGTGGCTGCTGGGATTCGAGCCCAGGTCTCCACGGCCACAACGTGGAATTCTTACCACTAAACTACAGCCACTTGATGTTCAACTTGTTTCGCTTTATTTATAAATTGGTTCAAAGATCTCTGACTAACAAAAGTGCTGATATAGTACTAGTAGGTAATTATCTGACAAACAAACTCTTGATGTTTTGGTTTATGCAATCAGTGCTATGAAGATACATTTTGTTCTAAAAAGTTAATAAAATCATCCTTTATATCCTGTTATGTTTACGTTTCTTTATGAGTGGTGAGTGTACCAGAAATAGAACTGTTAATATGGGCTGACCCATCTCATTCGGGATAATTTATACAAGCTTTGAAATTTAATGGGTCAGGTCGGGTTGATCCATTTTTTTTTGTGGGCTATAAAACGGTCAACCCAACCACAAGTGCATGGGCTATGGACTGTGCCGGGTCAGCCCACTTTTTTAAAAGTATATTTTTTATTATTTTTAAAATTAAATTTATAATTTTAAAAAATATTATCATAAATATCGACAAGAAAACATTACATAGTGTTAGTGTTACTACTTGTTAATCAAATCGACAAATAAAATCATCTTTATAATATTTATAAAGTTTGATTTCAAGTAAAAGTATAAATAGCTAAATAGAATTATTAACCTAATTATTTTTCAATGATCATAATAAAACACAACTAGTATGACAATATCACATAGGCTACGACCGTATTGATTCCCTAGAAATTTTAGGAGATTTTGTTTTATGTAATACATATTTTATAAACATAATTTGTATTTAAATTTTAATATTTAAAACTTTAAATAGAATTTGAGTTTGGGCTCTTGCTATTTTTAATACTATATTTTATTTTTTAATTAATTTTTTTGATCCACAAGCTGGCCCTATCCATATTTCTCAATCCCCATAACAGACTTATTCAGGTTAGGCTAAAAAGACTGTTTCTTAAATGGGCTCCAAAAATCTTAACCCAACCCTCTATCAAAGCACGAATTTTGCCAGGTCAGCCCATATGGACGGCTATAATCAAAAACAACTTCTATATCACATTGACTAATGTTTGGTAACTGCTTCTTCCCCCCCCCCCCCCCCCACAACAACTCCCCCCCCCCCCCCCAAAAAAATCTCCATCCCATGTCCCACTTGTAAGTTCCAATTTTACAAAATGCAGGGAAAATTATACAGAATAGCAAACATCTAGCCTATATTAGGTGATATATCTACAATTTAAGAAAATTATAATTCGCGGCAACAGTTTTTCCAATTCTTACTATTCGTTTGATTTGTATAAATCCAGAATTTGTATATAATTCGATTCATGATTGTATAAATCCAGATTTTTGAATATGTTTACCATAACTATTTGTATACGATTTATGAAAAAATCATAATAAATTACCTTGTTTGTATATTGGCAAGCGAAATATACATATGGAGTCCTGAAAATTTTTTAAATGTATAAATACATAATTTGTATATATTTACCCTATTTGTATATTCACAAGTGAAATATACAAATATGCAAAAATATATGAATCACAGCCTCCATAACATACAAAACTATAGTTATGGAACGTAATTATCGAAACTATAGCTATAGAGCTATATTGTGTCTATTATGCTTGTTATTTCTGAAATTTTCTTAAAAAAAGTATGCTTGATTATGCTTCTTTTGAATTGAAATTTTATTTGCCAACTTCTCTACACCACTGAGATAAAAGTCCATATCTCCTATCCATTAGGCCCATTAGCACATGCCCAGTCCATTGTAACATGGGCTCATAGTCGTCAAGTGTAACAGACATTTTCTTTTGAAATTGCCACAATCACTTTTTGGAACTCTAATTAAGTTTTTGTCACTTTTCATAAAATATTTAATTCATTTTTTTAATATATTAATGATTTTTTAAAAAAATACTCTTAATTAGTTTAAACACAAAAAAACCTAAGAAATATTTATTAAACTTTGTATATTTATTAGTTTGAACTTTATCAATTATTTGTGGGGTTTGAACTACACAAATAGTTCATGTAATTTGAAATTTCAACAAATTTTGACACATAAATTGTAAATATTTGAACTTATAAAAGTTTGATTTGTGGATTTTGAACTTCATATAGGATGTTAAAGTTGTTTCATGTTTCAATTAGAGGTACTTTATCTGAATTTGTTTCCTACTGAAAAGTGGTTGAAAACACTTTTCAATTACATTTGAAGCGATAGTTAAATTTTATTTGCCGACTCAAAAATTGGTAATCCATCTTATTTTTACAATTTTCAATGAACGTGAAAAAAGTTTGATGGTTAGCTGTAAAAAAATAACAATGACTTTACAAAATATTTAACATCATTATTCATTCCCGTACATTGTTATTTTTCACCATTATGAACTTCCATCATCATATCAATCAATACATTTAATTATCACAATCACTAGCCAACATTTTTACATTCATCACCATAAGCGTCAACTATCCTCCAATTACTATCAATAATCACCACTGCGATGCCATCAACCACCAATATATATCACACAATATTACTATATACATTGCACGATCATCAATTATCACCATCGTCCACCAATCACTATCGTTGGGTCATTCCTCTATCACCATTAGCTACTACGTATAAGTTATAACTACCAGTCCATCACCATCAATCTATACCATCATTCTAATCGACACCCAAAATCACACATCAACCATCATATACATTTTTAAAACACATTATTGATATAGCTACGTATATGTCTAATATAAATAAAAGACAAGTTATATATTCAAATATTAAGAAATCAAATAATTTTAGTTTATTTTAATATTCAAAACTTAATACTTTTTAAATTTAGATATTCTAATTTTAATACACATCTAATAAAATCAATGAGGACTAAATAAATAATTTGAGACTATTTGTTCTTTATTTGGCGGCCCACAAATATTTAGTCAGAAGATTAGATTCTCGTAAGTCGTAACTCCCTCTTTTCTCTCACTGAAAAAGCACAATCCGCGACCAAACACAAAGAAGCACTGCACACCGTAGATCTCACTTCGAATCAACGGCTTATATTTAGTTTCCGCAATTCACATGGATCGACATTCTTATCCGTCTAAGTAAATTTCCCAAAATTTAGCGGCCATGATTTTAAGCCCGCCTCATTTCAAACCACCCACGAAATCCAGGACGCCCAAATTCACCAACTATAAATAGCCACCACCATCCACTTCATGTTTCATCAGCAAAATTACATCAAAATTCGTAACCCTAGAAACTTTCTCTGTGAAAATGTCTGGTCGTGGAAAGGGAGGCAAGGGATTGGGAAAGGGAGGAGCCAAGAGGCACAGGAAGGTTCTAAGAGACAACATCCAAGGTATCACTAAGCCAGCTATTCGCAGGCTTGCTCGTAGGGGTGGTGTGAAGCGTATCTCTGGTCTGATCTATGAGGAGACCCGTGGAGTGTTGAAGATCTTTTGGAGAATGTGATTCGTGATTCTGTCACCTACACTGAGCACGCCAGGAGGAAGACTGTCACTGCTATGGATGTTGTCTATGCTTTGAAGAGACAGGGAAGGACTCTCTATGGATTTGGAGGTTAGATTGGGGGTTGTATGTTGGTAGTAAATGTAGGTTTTAGTTTACAATTGCGTTTATGCCTGTGTTGGATATCTGTAGTGATGCTCTCATGCTCTAGAACTTGTAATTTCTCATTACAGTATCAATGAATAGATTTCAGTTTCTAGTGATTACATTGGTCCGTCTTTTAGCTGTTGATTAATTTTTCTTAATTGATTCATCCTAGTGAATATTTATTGTGCAATTCTTCTGAAGTAAAACCATTTCACTGCGAAATTAAGAAAATCCTCGAAATTTAATGAGAATTGGAGCAAGAGAGACGAAATGTGAGATCTAATAGTATTCAATTGTTAAGCAGAGAGAAGACTCATTACATACAACAGAGTCCATTTTCATCTATTCTCGACATCATTGCCAAAATGCTTAAACTCTATCTAGCTGGTTCTGCATTTTGATCAAACATTTTCAGTTGGTTGTCAATATCTGAATTTTCTTCAATAGTTGGTTCATAGGTTTGGATTTAGATCAGGATTAGCTATTCCTTCAGCCAGCAGATCTACATCTTCATTAGCGCCTCCTTCTTGTTCATCATTTTGCTCATTAGTGCCTCATTGTTCATCATTTTGCTCATTAGCGCCTCCTTGTTCATCAGCATCTCCATCTTGCACATTAGCGCCTGCAGCCTGTTCATTAACGCCTCCATCTTGATTAGTAAGACCAACTTTGTGTCTGCCACAAATTACTCATTTGTTAGAACATCTTACAAGTCACACCACATATGTGTAGAGTCTTAATTTACAAATTTGTAATTAGAAACTTACAAGCTTATAAAGAATACTCCTTCTCTAATATAACTGCAAGGTTTGTTGATTGATTGCAATCTGGAGAAATCATAAATTCTGTAAGAAAAAAATTTAAAAAGAAGAACAAGATTGTCCTCTGGTACTTACAAGTTTCCGCCCTAGCAGGTTTCCACATTTAATACAGTAAGTGTCGGCTACGGTTCTGCCATTTTTTTCTACTTGATGATATCGCTTGTCCTCTGGTACTTCAACATTAAAGCTGCATATATAAAGGTTTGTAACGTATATGTATATGCCTCAAGACTGCAGAAAAATGTTTAAGCTCGTCTGTAAAACCCAATTTCCAAACATGAGACTTACACAGTATGAAAGATGAATGATTCATCGCCTATCTGCAAAATATACAAAACAATGAGCATAGTAAGTGATTAGTCAAGAATATAACAGACTGCTGAATTCATGATACAAATAGCTGTCAAAATTGAGGATTGAATATTACATGTCCTCTTTATGAAATGAAGCGCAATTTTATCAGAAGAGAATTCGGAACAGTTGAGAAAAATTAATGCATATACTTCTTGCACAGATGACAAACATTTGGTATGTTAATAACAAATTGCAAGAAATGATGCAGTGAGAGTGAGAATCCATACATTAGTAAAAAGGTGATCCCTGATAAATCCAACTCGAGTTTTGCAGCTACGACAATGGATGCAATCATCCTCGTAGTGAAGTATAAAGGGCCTTCCCATTGTTGAATGAAGAACCAACTTCTAATAGATATGTTACAGAAACAAATATCACAGGTGAATTGCTGAATTATGAATGGGGAAAAGACTAACTGATTATGAATGTAAAGAGAACAGAGATGATGGAAAATGAGAATTCAAGAAAGTAGAAAAATGGCTGGTGATTAATACTTCTGAAAATTAGTTCTTGATTCTTGAATGAATCAAGTTGAGAAGAGTTATATATATCTTTACCGTTAGCTGAGATATTAGGAAAAATTCTTTTTTCTCCTCTTTTCTTTTAAAGATGGGAAGTACAGGTCTTCATAAGTGACTGAATTGGTTTAATTTCAGCAACAAAAAAAGGGTTATATTTACCTCTCTACTATAAAAAAGAATAAGCTTTGTTTGTTCTCCGTCATACTTCTTGAACAAACTATACCCCTATAATCGTATTTTAGGGTTATATTTACACTTCACCCGTTAAAACTTCGTACGAATAATATAAGGGAACGTATTCTTTGATGGACTTGAATGTTGCACTTGATCTTAGTCAATAATTAAGCTAAAATGTATAACAAGGAGTGTTTGCTCATAAGAGTATAACACTCATGTTCTTGTCATACTAGTATTTCATTTTATATTTCTTTCACCTTTTTTGGTTTTTGCTCAATTCATTCTTTTTTTTTCTTCCCACTGTATACAATTTTCGGAAAAGGGTAAAAAATGTTCTTTCATATATTAGAAATGGTCGAATTTGCCCATCCTTTCAACTTTTTGATCAAATATGCCCATAGCATATTAGAAATAGTCCTCTCAGAAATCATGTTTCTACTTCTTCTTCTCTTAGTAATATTAATGTATTTCAATTGGATTTACAAAATGAACTTTTAATCCAGACCAAGAACAGGATATGTATTTTACATTCATTATCAAACATCTGTTCAACTTTGAAGATTTCTTTAGATCACACATTTGCAATAACATTCAGATTGACAGAACTCGAAAGCAGTAAATATGCTCCAAATATTGCAGATTTATAGATTTCAAATGAAACGGATACCAAGCCTTGCATATTACTACAAAATGAAAATATTGTTTTTACCTTTTCTATAACATTTGCCCCATGCTGAACCCTTAGATGCAGAAAGCAATTGAAATGAACAAAAAAAGTGAACTATGTTATCTGGCTCATAACTTCAGGATAAGAGTAAAAGCCATTGAATCCACCATTCTCAGCGTATCTGTTAAAATCTAACTTCACCACATACTCGCATCAAGAAATAAGCAGCATATAGAGAGTGGTAGTATCAGAGCTAAAACAGGTAAAACGTTCAGTGTCAATTGCTTTGTTCCAACCTGAAGTAATAATATGTACTGTAATCCCAAAATCAAAAAGAGAAAAAAGAATATCACACAATTAGGCATTAGCATTTTGTAAAGTATGAACTCTAATTCAGACAGTGTATATCTTTCTGCATTTTGATCAGCATGAGTAGGCTATCAATGACTGCATATTCATCAATATTGTCTATTCCATCAGCCAGTTGATCGACATCTTCATTCGTTTCACTGGACGGCCTCGATTTTGACCATGATTCTGTTCATTAGCGTCTCCGTCTTGCTCATTAGAGCCTCCATCTTGATCAGCATTAGCACCTCCATCTTGATCAGAATTAGCACCTCCATCTTGCTCAACATTTTGATCATTATCGCCTAAATCTCGTTTATTAGGAACCTGTTCCTTAGCATCTCCATGTTGCTCAGCATTTTGATCATTAGCACCTAAATCTTGTTCATCAGTATTCTGTTCATTAGCGTCTCCATCTTGTTTAGCATTTTGATCATTAGCACCTAAGTCTTGTTCATAAGGAACCTGTTCATTAGCGTCTCCTTCTTGTTTAGCATTTTGATCATTAGCACCTAAATCTTGTTCATAAGGAGCCTGTTGATTTATGCCTTTAGCTTGATCAGCATTTTGCTCATTAGTGCCTCCATCTTGATCATGATCCTGTTCATTAGTGTCTCCATCTTGATCAGCATTTTGATCATTAGCGTACCTAAATTTTGTTCATTAGGAATCTGTTCATTTGCTACCTCCTTCTTGATTTGTTAATTTCTATTCGGTGTTTGATGGTAATTGGGGATGTGATTGTAACTATTTGTAATTTGTTTGTTGCAGGGAGTTTTGCTGAGACAGAGCATGGGCAAGTGACTTTTCCGGAGATTAACACCACCATTCTTGAGAAGATCTGCCAGTACTTTTACTGGTCCCTTCAATATGCAAGGTCTTATCTTACATTTAATTTAAACATCATAAATTACTGCTATGTTTGTCCTGTGTTGATTTCTTAGTTATAGAAATATAGAATTCAGGTTTACCCCTTTAATTCAGAAGGACTTATAACTACATTGGGCATCATTTTTTCATATGTATGATTGGACTGTTTTTTCTTGAGCCGAGGGTCAATTAGAAACAACCTCTCTACCTCTCTACCTTTGAGGTAGGGGTAAGGTCTGCGTACACTCTACCCTCCTCAGACCCCCACTTTGTGGGACTACACTGGGTATGTTGTTGTAATTTGATGTATGAGCAAGGAGCCTAACTGACAATAGTAGAAAGTACATGAGCACCTAAGGGTATGGCCTAGTAGTCAATGAAGTGGGTTGAGTACCATCAAGTCTCTGATGACAAAACATTAGGTGATTTCTTTCCATTTGTCCCGTCCTAGCCTTGGTGAACATAGTTACCTAATACTTGTTGTTGATGGAGTGACAGGTATCCTCTGAAATTAGTCTAGGTGCGCTCAAGTTGTCCTGGACCCCATGGTTAAAAAAGAATAAAAACCATTATATTGGTATGTTGTATCCATGTTTTAGGCTTTTCAGATGATTCTGGATTAGTAGTTTGTGAGCCCTAAGAGGAGCATTTGCATTATTGTGTTTTTGATGTTCAATATTTTCGATAGCATACATAGTTTTAGATCTGAGAACTCCTCGTGGTTATATGAACTAGCTGTAAACTAGGGCATGCTCATGCACTTGTATTGATCTATGTGAAGCACCTTTGAGGTTGGCTTCATATAGATCATGATATATATTTTTGTCTTTGCTAGGTCCAACATGTGGTAAACTAGATTGTAGTTTCTTTTTGGTCCTAAATGGTGGTCCTAAGTTTTGCTTGCATTTGGCTTTAAAATAGTTAGGGTTAGAAATCCGAAGTTGCTGAAATGTAGTCTTGAAATTTCTCACTGGGTGAAATGAGGGCATAAGTCGCTTCTAGGTTTATATATCATGGAAATTTGGGAAGTATGCAGGATTATGCAACTTCATCAAGGAGGGTCTCAGATTTTATTAAGTAGGCTCACAGAAATGAATGAGTAGGGTTGCAGTCTAGAACCAATGGAACAATGCAAACTCAACAGGCCTTTCACCACTTGTCTTCATTTTTCAGCAAGTAGTCTCAGAAATGAATAATAAGTAGGGTAGCATTCTACAACCAAACTCAAAGAAATGAATGATTAGGGTTGCAGTATATTACCAAAACAACAATGTTGCTTAGCATCTCCATGTTACTCAGCATTTTTATCATTAGCACCTAAATCTTGTTCATCAATATTCTGTTCGTTAGCGTCTCCATCTTGTTTAGCATTTTGATCATTAGCACCTAAATCTTGTTCATTAGTGTCTCCATCTTGTTTAGCATTTTGATCATTAGCACCTAAATCTTGTTCATAAGGAGCCTGTTGATTTATGCCTTTAGCTTGATCAGCATTTTGCTCATTAGTGCCTCCATCTTGATCATGATCCTGTTCATTAGTGTCTCCATCTTGATCAGCATTTTGATCATTAGCGCCTAAATTTTGTTCATTAGGAATCTGTTCATTTGCACCTCCTTCTTGATCATTAGGAGCCTGTTCATTAGCAACTCCAAAGACAGTATCACGCAACGTTTCACCACTCTGGTATATAAGCAGCTCCCTGCCACAAAATACTTATTTGAATCAACACCTTACAAGTCATACTGCATATATACGCGCATGTACAGGCAGTCTCAATTTGCGAATTTGTAATTAGAAACTTACAATTTCATAAAGGATCTTCCTACTACAAAATACTCAGACTGTTGGGTAGTCTCAACCTGAAGAAATCATAATTTCTGTATTTTATGAAATATAGAACAACCAAATCAAATGCTTTTTAATGTTAGTATCTTACAAGTTGCCAGCCAAGCCGCATTCGACATTGGACACAGTAAATATTGAGTAGGCTATTTCCCTCTAGTTGTTCTAGATAACCTTGGTGGTTAATTGGTACAACATAATGAAGCCTGCATATAATACACAGACCTCAGAAAAAAGCTTAGGCAAATCACAATCTCATGAAATACCCAATTTTCGAAATTCTGAGACTTACAATCTATTAAAGAACCCTCCATACACTAAGTCATCCGCCTGCAACGTGTACAAGACAAGAACATGAAATATAACAGAATTAAGGGTTGACAAGCAAATTGAAGCAGGGAGAATCGTTACATTAGGAATGAAATCCTCGATGTATGCAACTCGAGTTTCGCATAAACAGCAAAGTATGCAATCACGTATGTTGATTAGATGATCAGAAACTCCAAAACGGGACATTGTGGATCAACCTGTTACAGAACAAAATCCAAGAGAAATATGAACTGCTGAATGAATAAATGGAAATAAAGACTTAACTGATTGTGAATGTGGTAGATATTAACAAGTCTTAAATGTAAAGTGCAACTCCTTTATTTTCTGTAATTAGGATAGCTTTTGTTTTGTATTCGAACTCTATTACCTCTTCTTTTACCCGTCCTGAGGTTCACCCACATATATTCCTCTTCTACAACTCATCTCTCCATCATTCATTCCAACTCCCAAACAATTGCCCTTTCGATAAAACTTGATTGGGAAAATTATTACCTTTGGCAATCTACTGTCTTTGACGCCTTTGATTTGGAGGCTCATCTTGATTGAACTAATATTCCATCTGCCACTATCTTAATCACTACTCCGACACATCTGAATCCACACCAAATCCGGACTTCACGGCTTGGAAAAAGAGGGACAAAATCTTTCTTCTTTGGCTACCACTCGTGAAGCTTGGCTATATCTTTCCAACCTCTAATTTCCATCTCAATCTCGAGACCGAGTCATGCAACTTCGTCACCAACTCCAAACCACCACAAAGGGCTCTACCACCATTATAGACTATGCTGACAAGAAATGTACTATATCACATAGTCTAGCTCTTGCTGACGAAGACTCACTTCCTGGCTTAACAAGAAACGAAGAAACTTGTTGAGGAAACCAAAGCCCTCCAACTTCAAGCCAATGTCATATCTCGCCAATACTCCAACTGCTCCCCAATCACGGGAAATCTCAATCAACAAAGTTTCACCACCTCTCAAAAATCCTCCAGTAGCCCAAATAACAACAATCCCTCTCGTTTCGCGTTATTTGTCAAATATGTGAGAAACCCAACCACGATGCCCGTAATTGCTACAATTTCAACAACATGGAATCCACCTAATCGTTCCTCTAACCGTTCACAAGCCAATATGGTCACTCCCTCCGCCCAAAGTAGATAATATTACACGTATCATTGAACTGTTCTAGCCCAACAACTAGTATTAAAACTATGGTTTAGTTAGACTAGCAAAAAGATGGTCTCGGAGAGATGATATAGGTTCTAACTTAGGACCTTTGCACGTCTACTTGTTGATTTGCTGTTTTTACCCATAACTTCAAAGACACATGCGCAAAAAAAAAAAACTATTGGGCTATGGCGGCCACATATACTCAATTGCTATATGTGACACACACTGGGCCTCAACCATATTAGTGGACTAAAACAAAAATCAAACGAGGCCTTAAACTTAAATTGTTAATAACTTTTATATAATTAATTTCTTCTAGTATTCAGTTTGATAATATAACTTTTCTTATTTTAAAATATTTTTCATGCGATATAGTACTCCAAATATGTCAATTTTTTTCTAATAATTCCTTCATTTTTCATGGAAAGTTTACCTTTTCTACAAATAGTATTCAATATTCATTAAAATAATAATAACTTATAACCTATTATTATTAAAAATGAGGCCACTTAAGTTTTATTTTTTCTAATAATTCCTTCATTTTTCATGAAAAGTTTACCTTTTCTACAAATAGTATTCAATATTTGTTAAAAAATAATAACTTATAACCTATTATTATTAAAAATGAGGCCCCTTAAATTTGGGGACTAAGGCACTCAATAGCAGATTCAGGATTGTTACTAAGGGGTGTCAATAATTTAATAAAAAATATAATTGTGAGGCTAGAACCCACGACCTCAAAGAATTGTCACAACACTCTAACTGTTGGACTAGATATTTAATTTGTGTTAAGAGGTATTAAAATTTATATATGTATTTACTAAATCAAAATTTGACTTCTATACACAATGCAATTCTCCGACGAAACGGTATCGAGCGACACCGTAAAGATAGGTACGCCCCTGAAGACACTTGTCTTTTTCTTAACATTGTCGAGCTGCCCCTGGTGACACTTAGACCATGGATAGTAATGTACCATGTGGAACTTTATTCAAGGAGGATATTATTAGAGGTGTGAATCAAGTCCACATTATTAGCTATAAATATAAGCAAGTTAATTACTTATAAAGTGTTATTTACTTTTGACTTTTTGAAGAAAAAAAATACTGACTTAGATTAGGAGCTTGTTTGACATTACTGTTGAGAGTCCACAACACTTATTTTTAGTAAAGCACTTTTTTTGAAAAAGTAGGTGTTTGACAAATGAGTAAAAATTCTTTTAAATAGAAACAAAAGTTTTTCTGCTGTTGGGAAGAAGCTAATTTTAGCTTCTTAATTTTTTTTTCAAGACTAAAAAGTAATTACCAATTACTTAATTAACATATCTCATATGTTTGGTCAAGTTTCATTTAATAATTTTATTTTTTATTTTTATATAATAAATTTTATATTTTATTTTCCGTTTGCGTATTATTATTTTACGCATTATTTTACAAAATCAGAAAACAAGAAAAAGGTAACAACAATATTTTTGTAAGATTAGGAAAAAAGAAAAAAAAATAACAATTAAAGATTTCTACCCTTCAAAAAAATGTATAATATCGATTGTTTGAATATGAACATTTTATTTTAATAAAAACAAAAAATTAATTTAATTTTTTGTAATAGATGTTTAAACTAGTTTCTTTTTATAACATAATCTAATATTAAAATTACATTAATACTTGCCCTTAATCACAATTTGACTCTCAAAAGTACTTTCAAAAAAGATTAGCCAAACACAATTTATTTATAAAAAAACACTTTTCAAATGAATTAGCCAAATATAAATTGTTTTTTCTCAAAAACACTTTTCTGAAAAGCTATTTTTAAAAAATGCCTGTTAAAATAAATAACGTTTAGTAGAAATGCCAAAAAGACTCTTAACTGACAATATCACAAAAATTAAAATCTAGGTAGTAACGAACTAGGAAAGTTAAGTCTTTTTTTTTTCCACAAAATATTGAATTTGCTATTATTAGTATTAGGTGCGGGAAAGATGTGTTGACATCCCTAGATCTTCTCTCACACGGATCGGATCCCCTTCCAATCAACGGTTGATATTCAGTTTCCACCATTCACGTGGATCACCATTATTATCCGTCGATCACTAAATAATCCCCAAATATTAGCGGCTACGATTTATGCCCCGCCACATTTCGAACCCGCCAACCAAGTATAAATACCCTCCACCATCCACCTCATTCTCATCAGTAATTACATCCAAATTCAAAACCCTAGAAACTTCATCTTCTTCAAATTTCTCTGTGAAAATGTCTGGCCGTGGAAAGGGAGGCAAGGGATTGGGAAAGGGAGGAGCCAAGAGGCACAGGAAGGTTCTAAGAGATAACATCCAGGGTATCACTAAGCCAGCTATTCGCAGGCTTGCTCGTAGGGGTGGTGTGAAGCGTATCTCCGGTCTGATCTATGAGGAGACCCGTGGAGTATTGAAGATCTTTTTGGAGAATGTGATTCGTGACTCTGTCACCTACACCGAGCATGCCAGGAGGAAGACTGTTACTGCGATGGATGTTGTCTATGCCCTCAAGAGACAGGGAAGGACTCTCTATGGATTTGGCGGTTAGATTCTGGAGTTTGGTTGGTGTAATGGTAGTAACTGTAGGTTTAGTTTACATTGCGTTTGTGGCTGGTGTAGCTGTGGATTTTAATTCTCTGTAGCTTCTTTTTGGGTCTTGTTGTTAAGCTCTATATTTTGTTAATATTCAAGTAATCAAGTTCACCTTTCCAGAAATTACATTGTGTATTTGCAGCTAATTACCTTTTTTCTTGATGGTGGATGTTGAATGCTTACTTGTTGCACAATTGGGCGTGTTAATTTTCAGTTTCTTGCCCATGATGAGTTGTTCTTCAAACAGGATTGCATATGTTGAGTAATGGAGTTAATTTGCTGAGTTGAGCAAGAGATAGCACTAGAGTTTTAACATCTATTTATTCCTAAATCTGAAATTTTAGTTAATTTGATCACTCACATCGCATAAAGTCTTCATCATGGTTTCAGTCCTTTGAACTGAGTTATAGAAAAAAAAAACAGAAATTTTATTGCTAAAGTCGAGCGTTTTTGTTTTCATCTCTGGATCTTGACCCCGTTCTTGGCAACTATATACAAGCATAAATGATTTCTCATCCTAACGTAAAGATGCCATTGGACTTATATAGATTATTTGGCCAAACTTTTAAAATCAACTTAATATTTAAAAGCATCATCTTTTTTTGAAATTACTTTTGGTGAGAAGCTTTGTGTCAATGAGGCTATTAATCTCAACAGAAGTTCTTAAACAATATAGAAATTGTCAGGAGAATTCGAATAACTAGATCAATTATACTAATAGATATAGCAAAGTAAATTCACATGAGATTGAGGAAGAGAAGTTTCGTGGTTATCACGTTAGTCTAACACACTTGAGTAAAAGTCTAAGGATCATTTCAATAAGAACATCTTGACATCAATTGTATATATCTACATTGCAATAGCCTCTTGACAAAAAGGAAGAAACGGATTACATCTGTTCAATTTCACAGATTTCCGAAAGACCCTTTCTTAGAAAAAGGGGAGAAAACAGAAATCAAGATGACCTCCTTCTGTGCGGCTTTGCAAATTCCAGTTAACTAGTTGGTCCATCACCCAGTTCATTGGGAGTGCCTCCATCTCCATCTCGATCAGTTTTCTCTGCATCTTGATCAGTTGTGTCTCCATCTTGATTGGTTGAGTCTCCATCTTGATCAGCATTTTTCTCATTAGCACCCATATCTTGTTCATTATGAACCTGTTCATTACTGCCTCCATCTTGATCATGATTCTGTTCATTACCGCCTCCTCCACCCTGATTAGCATTTTGACAGATGAAATGCATCAAGAGATCAGTAAAATTGTACTGAATAGTCCCCACAGTTTCTTCATTTGTGTCTTTGTCTTGATCAACATTTTGCAAATTAGCGCCCCCTTGTTCATTAGGAGCGTGCTCATTAGTGTCTCCATTAGTCATGTCTCCATCTTGATCAACATTTTGTTCATTGGGGTCTCCATCTTGATCTGCATTTTCCTCATCTTGTAGCCCATTTAAATGAAGCAACGGCACATCATTCCATAAACTAAGCTTGTTCCTGCCACAAAATACTCATCTGTATTAGCCCTTACAAGTCATACCGCTTATGTGTACACTCTCAATTTGCAGATTTGCAATTAGAAACTTACAACTTCATACAGAATCTTCCTTCTCTAACATACATGCTCTGTCGGGTGACTGCAATCTGGAGAAATAAAAAATTCAGTATTTTCTTTAAAAAGCAACAAAGTATTCTTATTAATATTAGTATCTTACAATTTTCCACCCGATTAACTCTCCACATCCGATACAGTTAGCATTGACTACGGTAGTTCCAAATTGTCCTAGATGAAAATTCTCGTTTTCTGGTACAAGAACATTAAACCTGCATATATAAATATATAAAGGTTTGTAACATATATGTAATCATATGTAATATCAAATTGCATGAAATCATGAGATTTACAGCCTATTAAAGATCCCTCGTGGCCACACCTGCAAAATGTACAAGAAAATGAGCATAATAAGTTGGTTCTCTATCTAGTCATGAAGCATTGATTCTAAAATATTGAAATCAGTAGCAAATTGATCAAATAGAACAATTAAGAAGAAATAATATTCGTATTGTTACCATCCGAATATAATCGTGTACGCATGCCACTTGATTTCTGCACTTACGACAGTGGATGCTATCATAAAGTGGGATAACATCCTGGTATTCAAGTGAATAGCATCTCACCATTGTTGAATGAAGAAGCAGCAACTCAGAGATGAACTGCTCAAAATGAAAATAAGACAGAAGAATGAATTTTATAGAAATGAGAAGAGAGAATGTTGATATATAGAAAAGTCACTTCTTGATTCTTGAATTTACCGTTAATTCTCAATCCATTTTCTTTCCAAAACTATTTTCTTTTTAATTTCTCATACCAGACAAACTTTTACCATTTTCTTTAATTTGGTTTAGGTTGTACATAGAACTGATAAGAGTACGTTAATCCATTTACCATCCTTATCTATGCAATCCGTTAAAAGTTTGACTCATTTATGCCATTTTTGTTTGTGAAATTTGAAAAGGCTCATCCATGCCATTATTTGTTAACTGAAATGGCATAGATGAGCCAAACTTTTAACGGATGACATAGATGATCCTTTTTTCAAAGTTTGATGGCATATTTGAACCTTTTTCATTTTAAAAGATAATTTAATTAATGACGTGCATGAATCATGACCACGTGTACAAAATGGTTGTGGAAAACCAAAAATATTTTTAGCTTACAAAATAATGGCATGGATGAGTCTTTTCTCAAATGAACTAACTTTGAACCAAGAACAGAGCTTGTAGAAGAATGTTGATACTTGGGATATATAATCAGACTGATGCTCCCCAATTTCGCAAAGCAATGGGTTGTTTCAGGATTTTATGCCCGTAACAATATAGTTTTAACCTCATCAGAGAGAAACAGACATCAGAATTCGTATCTGTTAAAATCTTTTTAGTCATACACATTTTAATGAAAAACAAACTAGTGTTCACTTTCAAGCAACTACACTTGTTGAAACAAAGACAATTGAATAGCATTTGCAGTTTCCAGTGACACATGACTTGAATATAGAGAATGGTAGTACCCGAGCTATAACATGGAAAATGTTCAGTCTCAATTGCTTTTCTCCAAAATGAAGTAATATTAATCCAAAAACCAAAAAAGAAAGCAGAATTTCACACAATTATGAATTAATAATTGTATATATGAACTCCAGCGACTGTACTCAGTGGAAGTGTATATATTTGTAAATCATAGTAAGCTGGCTCTGCAGCATGAGTAGGCTATGGATGTCTGCATTTTCATCAATAGTTGATTCAGTGCAATAAACGTCAGCGCTCTCAATCAGCAATACAGAACCACTACACAAGGCAACAACAACAGCATCAATATTGTTCATTAGCGCCTCCATCCTGATCAACATTTCTCATTAGCGCCTCCATCCTGATTAGCATTTTTCTCATTAGCGCCTAAATCTTGTTCCTTAGTATCTTCATCTTGATCAGCATTTTGCTCATTAGTATCTCCATTTTAATTATCATTTTGCTCACTAGGAACCTGTTCATTAGCGTCTCCATCTTGATCAGCATTAAACCTGCATATATGGCTCATTAGGCAATACATAAAATCTCAAGATGATGAAATTGCATGAGACTTATACTCTAATAAAGAACCTTGCTATCACTAAGTCAAGTACCTGCAATGTTTACAAAACAAGAAAATAAGTTGGTTCAGAGCTTAGTCAAGAGAGTAGTGCTTAATTCAGGATACATATTGTCTTTATGAATTGTCATCAAAAGATACAACATACTATAGTTTTCTCTAAGCGAATAGAACAATTCAGAAGAAATTAATTGAAAATTTGGAGTATCAAAGAAACACAAATCAATAGCAAGAAATCATACAGAGTGAGAAATCCTTACAGTGGGAATGAAATCAGACATGTAAGACAAATATCAAAGCTGCAAAAATCAATGGAAAAAAAAGACTTAACTTGTCACCAGACAACAAATGTAACAGAAAGAGTTGGTTGATCAATGAGAATCCAAGAAAACGAAAAATGGGTGGGAATTATAACAGAAAAATCAGTTCTTGGTTCTTGAATTTACCGTTAATTCTGAATCCATTTACCCTTCAAATCTATTTTCTTTTTAATTGCTGACTCTAGTCATATTCACTTTTTATTTTGCATCCTTACACACATATGCACCGACTTAAAAATTGTATAGAGAATAAAAAACCAATTATGTTTCCTTTTCCCTCCCTCTCGTTTGTATCTTAATAATGTTGTTGTTGTGTGAATTTTGACTAACATTTTAAAATATAATTTTTAATCATATTGATATGAAAAATGTTGCAAGTTATAGTACTTTCTGTATAGTTTTTGAATATCTAAAATTTTATTTTAAAATATCAAATTAATGTAATCTAATTTAGCGTTGAAAATTAGTCAAATTAAGTACTCTCGAAAAGTGCAACATGACAACTAGGGGAAGGAGGGAGTACGATTTAACCATGATTAACTAATACATATGTTTGTTGCACTAAATCAAGAGGAACTCTTGGAGCAATGAGTTTGAACAATGGAAACAGTCACTAACACAATATAATAGATATAAAGTCTAAAGTAAAATCTGATACCTGAAGGTTTCGTGGTGTAGTTGGTTATCACGTCAGTCTAACACACTGAAGGTCTCCGGTTCGAGTCCGGGCGAAGCCATTTTTTTGATACATATATTTTGTTTTTTGAAAGTTTTCCTTTATGTGCCAAAAGTGTAGTGATGCTGCAACTTACTTAAGAAGTCAGGATCCTTTTGTTGAGAGAAATAAAGGAAAACTCTACTACGAATTCACGCTAAACTCTACTACCAATCCTCTCAATCAGCAATTTTGTATCAACAGATAAAAAAACAAACTAAGCAGCATATACAGAACGGTTAATATCAAACATGTAAAATGTGCAGTGTCAATTGGTTTATTCCAACCTGAAGTAATACAATATGTAGTGTAATCTCAAAACAGAATATCGCACAATTATGAATTATAGCATTTGTATAAGCAGAATATCAGAATGAGTAGCCTATCAATGTCTGCATTTTCATCTATTCCATCAGCCAGTTCATCTTATCTTCCTTCGTTTAATTGGCGGGCCTCCATCTTGATCATTAGGACCTTGTCATCTT